TAATTTACTTAATAATAATCATTTGCTTCTTCTTCATCATACAATTCGTTAAAATAATCTTCATCTTCGTCGCCGTTATCATTTTCCTTTTGAGTAAGCAGTCTGAGGCATTTGCTGTATTTTCTTTTTACAACTCTTCCTCTTTCTCGAAATAAATGGATCTGAACTTAAAAGAAATCTATTAAAGACGTCTTCTATTGTATTTTCCCGACTGAATTTACTGGAAAAGTGCTGCCAATAGTTTTTGAAGTCCTTATTTCTGGCGTCAAAATCAAAAATTCTTCATTTGTTAAGGACAAAAAAAAGACTACAGAAATCTAATGCAAAAAAAAGTTAAACGGCGTCCATTGCGTGATTTTGATAATATAAATATTTTTTGTTTATTTTTTATTTGTATAATTTAGAGGAAAGCCTTATCGAATATTTGGAAGTGGAGTTTCCGACGACTCCGAACCCGGAAAGGCTTACATGGCTGGACGCTCCCATAATGTTAATGCTATTGAAATTAGTAGATATTTTGCGAACTAGAGCAAGATATGGAACAAGTCACGTTTAGGGGCTCCATTCGGATCATTTTGAAATGATTACCGTAAGTAGCCCCCCTTGTGCGGATTGCAGTGATATACATTTCATGTGGGAAAATGCATACTTCCCGAGATATTGGCCTTGAAATTTCGGAACATATTTTGTTTAAAATAACCCTTTTTCCATGGTATAATAATAGAAGGTAACAGCAAGTGTTGTTGTACAAAAAACGATACAACAACCACATGGAAATTTGTTGTTGTAAGTTCTACTAGTGTCAACTCATTTGACAGAAAAATGTAAACAAACAAATTATCATCAAATTATTTTTATTTTGAAAATGAAATATTTTCGAATTCTCTAAATAAAAATTGAAAAACATGAATGAAAATCTATTTATATATATTTATATATATATATATATATATATATATATATATATATTATATTTCTATCGCTTCTACATCTTTCCTATAATTGAGCCATAGCCATATATATGTGTAACACATATGAAAATGCAGGGAATAGCGAGTTGTTCCTTGAAGAAAGATTTGCTTCCTCAAACTTTCCCAGCTGGCAGATTGAGTAAGTTGAATACGGGAGCACATTTAATAAAGAACAATTACAAATTGTATGCGTTCCCAATTTTCCTGTTGGGTGATTTTTAAAAACATAATTTGTCAAATTCATATTGACACTAGTATTACGTTGGAATCAAATCAGCTGGGACTTGCTGTTATCTTTTATAATTGTACCATGCCCTTTTTCTATTGCCACCAAGGCAATACGGGTATCATTAAAAGGTTATACCGGGTATTTTTTTAGAGAACTTAAGAATAAGACATTCACATATGGACAGGCTAATACATGGCTACGCAATATATTCTTCATCTAGTTATATAACACAAACCATAACCATTAAAATGATACAGCTAATTAAAACAACTTGCTCTCCGAACTTTCAAGGCCCATATCTCGGGAAGTATGCATTTCTCCCCATATCACTGTAATCAGTTCACTGAGGACTACTTACTGTAAAAATGTCAAAGCGATCCAAGTGGAGCCCCTAAACTTATCTTAAGTCCAAGATATTTTGGTACGATTGACCAACTCAAATCTTCATTCTATAGTATATTCATCTGAATCTTCTGCCCGCCATTCATCTTCATTCAAAAGAGAATAAAAAAACTGTTTGTCCATTTTTAAATTTCTTATTTTTTTAAGCAAATGTGTGTGTGTCCCTTTTGTTGAAGCCCTAACTTTCATATGCTTTATTTCGGACTGTATATCTCTGGCAATCAAATGTCAAATTCATAATTTACTACATTTACTATTTCGTGCTAGGCCAAATTGGTCTTGCAGAAATTAGGAGAAGAGAACGCAATTTTGGTTTTAACTCTCTTAAATTTAACTTCAATTTTTCCTACTTTTCGGCGTAAGGAAACGCTTTTCTAGCAACAATTGCAAAACTAGTACAATAGCAGGTTTGGGAACACAGCTATACTCTTCGATCATATGGGATCCCATACATATTACACACAGTGATCGCATCGAGTCCGCTCAAAAGCAATTTCTACATTTCTGTTTACGGACCATAAACTTTTCGATTTTATGTATGTTCCCTATATTTTAATTTCAAGTATCTGTCAGTATACCTATGGTGGATGGTATCCAAAGTTCGGCAAGGCCGAACTTTACGCTTTTCCACTTATTTTTACTACATTAAGATTCAGAGTAACCAAACATGTTAAAATTTGTTCTGCGGAGGCTCATTACTGGTATCCTTTCAACAAAAACTGTATTCTGACGTTTCCTTTAAGTACTTTAATACTCTCTTCAGTAAAGTAAATTATTGCATTCTTTACTACAACATTTCGACAAAAGCTTAGCAATATTATTCCTCTGAGAAATATACATATTCCCTTTATCGAAATTGATCTTTATGCCTAGAAATGTTTTCAGTGAATCTTTCATTTAAATTTTTTGTGAAAGTTTCCCTTTCACAATAGGTTAGGTTAGGGATGTACGGCTGCTAACTGCAACCATTCACTCAGATACATTTGTCCATTGTTATCATCCTTGGTACCTGAAAAGAGAAGGGAACAAGAGAACGGCAGTAATCCACTCGTTGATGTCCCATTTTGAAGTGATATATCTAATCCTGCAGTTATCTGTTATGATCCCCACAACGATTTTAATCTCTCCTTTATTCTGGGCCAACAGCGAGATCCTGCATCCAGGTTCGCTTGACCATCTGTTGCAACATTGCAGCCACGACCCGCTTTTGAGGTAATAGTGCAAGAATTAAAAGCCTTAAGGGGTACTATCGACATATACAGTCACCGGTCCTATGTTATCGGCAGGTAGTGTTTGTTGGCTACCTCAGCCGCTTTCGTGATTGCCAGGATTTCAGCTTGAAAAACGCTGCAACTATCGTTGAGCTCATATGAGTTGTAGATTTCTAGTTCCCTGCAGTAAACGCAGGTAAAATCTGTAAAAATCGACAGACCGGGCAGAGGTAAGAAGCCATCAGTCCAGGATTCCCTACTAGGAAACTCTACTCTGATGTCATTAAAGTCTCTATGAGAGGGAACATAGTCACTGATGTGAGTACTCCTCTTCAAGAAGTCACAACCTGGCGTCGTGTGAAGGATACTAGCGTGGCAAAAATTCAGCCACTTTCAGGCATCTGTTTCCCGGAGCCTCATATCACATCTTGCAGCCTGGAATTTAACTAGAGAGTCCAATAATTGGTGGTTCAAGATTGCATTCAAGGCAGCTTGTGAGTGCTTCCTAGCTAGTTGTCAGGATCGAAGTCGATCGCTGTACTGTATTCATTTAAGCCAGTAGTATCTTCTTATTGACCGGCAGAAACTTCCCACCGACTAGCAAGACTACATCATCAGCATAGGCTACAACCTTTATTTTAAAATGGTCGAATTTCAGCAGTATCTCATTTATCACAAGGAGATAATACTCCTCCTTGTCGTGTGGCTTTGTTGACAGATTTTTTTATTTTATTTTTTTATTTTATATATTAATTTCATGAATTTAAATATATTACAATTTTACTTTCCAATGTTTCACGATTCATAGGAAAATCTATAAGATTATGCAATTCATTAAAATCTTTAGACATTCTTCTTAAGGGATCTGCATTTGAATAATTCATTCTAGAAAATTGAATAGCTAGTGATACAAAATTGTGAGTAGCTCTTTGGGGAATATTGAAGCAAATGTGGTTGCTTCAAAATCCAGCATTAACGTCACCCATTACACTGTGCAGCACTAAAATCTTGAACCAATCGAGACCCCCAAAATCTTGAAGCTTGTGATGGTGGAAGAAAATCCCTAGCTGGGTTTTGCATTATTAGCTAAGTTTTTTTTTAAATTAATTTTTAAAATATTCGACTGGGGGTGGATTTTAGCACAATTTTCGAATAATACTATATCTATATCTCGTAAACTATTCGAAATATTGCTTTTCTCTCTTAAGCAATATTTTTCCTCTTAATTAGATCAAAAAATTTTCTTTTGAGATAAAATCAATAAAACAACACCATCATACTGAAAATAGCACAACTGCAAGAAAATTAAAATTTCGACTTACTTTTTCCATGTTTAATTTTTACTTCAATTTTGTACCTATTTATTGAAAAAAGCATAGCAATTTTTATTTCTACAAACATACAATTGGGAGTGAATTTCTTTGGTTCATTTTGATGAATTTGTGAGGCTATAACTATGTGAAGGAGTCAACCAATGAAATCGGGGTTTTAAGAAGAGTTGTTTGATTTGCTATTGGCTATCTTTTTGTCATATATTTTTTGTCCGAGTCAGTAGCAGTTTCTGAAATAAGTGTGAAAAACATGGAAAAAGTATGTCTAAATTTTATTTTTGCAGTTGTGCTATTTTCAGTATGATGTTGTTGTTTTATTGATTTTATCTCAAGAGAAAATTTGTAGACCTAATTAAGAGGAAAAATATTGCTTAAGAGAGAAAAGCAATATTTCGAATAGTTCACGAGATATAGACTCAATAATAAGTACGTATTATTCGAAAATTGTGCTAAAATCCGCCCAGTCGAATATTTTAAAAATTAATTTAAAAGAAATCCTTAGCTAATAATGCAAAACCCAGCTAGGGATTTTCTTCCACCATCACAAGCTTCAAGATTTTGGGGGTCTCGATTGGTTCAAGATTTTAAAGTTGAAAAATGTGTCACTGTGTTATCACATTAAAAAGAAATGATACATTCAACATTTTCCTTCGGCTTTTTAATGTTGGCAGATTGATGAGGGAAAGTCTATCGGTATATGATGGAAGATTATGAATCGAAAAGTTTAAGTTCCGTAAACAGAAAAGTAGAAATTGCTTTTGAACGGACTCGATGCGATAACTGTGTAATATATATATATATATATATATATAGATCCCATATGATCGAAGCGTATACCAGTATAGGGCGAACGAGCGTTGTGTATAAATTTTTTGTGACATAAGCATCCACGAACTCTTTACTCCACCCTTTAATAAACCCAAGCACTGATTTGTGTGAGAATTAAAATTCAGATTACAATCCAAAAAAAACTCCTAGACCCATACATAAAAAGAGAACCTATACCGAAATTTCTACAAACCGGTTTAGGTAAACCATTAGTACACCAAATACAAATTTCAGCAATTTTTAATGAAAACCCCAAAGCGTGAGCTGATACTAATAACGCATGGTAGAATATAATCCTCAAACTACTACAATTTAGATTACAAAGTTAGATAGCGAATATTTGGGGTTATAATTATATGAAGGCTATGCTTAATTAATGACCGACATATGTCAATTTCGAAGCCAATATTTTTGTTTTGTGTCTCACAACGTTACCTAAAATCCAACGAGGCGTACAAAAATATTCAACATACCCACTATGCCAAATTTTTTTGTACGGCCGTATTATCCAAATACGTCGATCCATAATATTCTATCATATACAGATAGACTTTCCCTCATCAACCTGCCAACTTAAAAAACCGAAGGAAAATGTTGAAAGTATCATTTCTTTTAAATGAAATAATGGGTGACGTTAATGCTGGATTTTTAATCAACAATATTTGCTTCAATATTCCCCAAAGAGCTACTCGCAATTATGTACCACTAGCTATGCAATTTTCTAGAATGAATTATTCAAATACAAATCCCTTAACAAGAATGTGTAAAGATTTTAATGAATTATATAATCTTATTGATTTTCCTATGAATCGCGAAACATTGAAAAGTAAAATTGTAAATAACATTTTGAATTATATACTCTGTAAGGAAAATATTCATAGACTAATAAATAAAAAAATAAAATAAAAAAAATCTGTCAACAGAGCCACACCACAAGGAGGAGTATTATCTCCTGGTGATAAATGAGATACTGCTGAAATTCGACCATTTTAAAATAAAGGTTGTAGCCTATGCTGTAACGTCAGACGTTACAAAATATAGCCTTAAAAGTCAAACATTGAGTCGCCTATTAAAACAAAATAGAACCTTTAGAGGATCTGAATTTCAATCAAACTAATAGCGGTGATAATTACCAGGCTCTGACTATGATGCCGAATGTGCCCCATCAAATGCCGAAGGGTAGTTTCAGCGAATTTGACTTTTTTTACAAAACTGTAAAAACGTTTAACTATTACTAATTTATTATATGTTTCAGAGGACCATAATCAGTCATAAAGTTTTTGATATCTGTTGAATATGTACTGAGATATAGAGCTCTAAAAAGTGCAGAATGGCCCCCAGTCTAATTTCGATGTTGGGTTTGATTCGAACCTACACTAATTCAAGATTGTCCTATAAAAGTGAAAATCTCAACAACTCTTGAAGATATAGCCGATTTATTGTATTAGTATCAAGTGACGGCAAGAGTGATTCTAAAACTTTAAACGCGGTTTTACGAATGGCGGTTAGGATAAATCAAAAACTAATAATACAATCGGTTCTAAATCTTGACACGTTTCTCTGTGAGTGTATAGCTATCGCATTAACAAGGATAAATCCAATCGGTCAATATGATAAAAAATAGCCGATTTTCCAAATAAGATTTTCAAAGGTATGCCGCACAGTGGGTTGAGCGGTAGGCAAAGTGGCGATTAATTCAGGAAACTCGTAATTTTAAAATATTGTTAATTTTTATTGATGGATATTCATAAATACATATAAAAGCATAATTAGAAAAACAAAAAAAATTAAAAAATTTTTGTTTTAATATTTTATGGCTGTTAAATCCAATAATAACACGTGGGTTTATGTCCATTCAGAGGTTATGTGATTTATTGTTAAAAGAAGACATAGGACTAAGAGTAAAAGTTAAGACTAAAGGAATGATGAAAATAGTGTTGCCATATAATGTGAATTCAAATACAAATGTGTAGTGTAGCCAGATAAGGTATAACTATAATATTAATAAGGTAATACATAACATTTCCTCCCCTTTGTCCATGTTTATTGTGGAGAGAAAAGGACTCTTTGCCGTCTTGGCCTTGACGATCTCCGTGGTAGGACACAAGGTTCTTGCTGGGGTGTATTTGAAGTACGTTCAATGTTACCACTGGTAAATCCATGAAAATCGGACTGCGGGTTTATAAATCCATCTTCCAGGGTTGCTTCTTCAGGTTCAATCTCTCCCAGAGAATGATCACTTGTAACTATGTTCTCGTCATCCGAATTGTCGATTGATCCTTGCGCCGTTGAGTGTGACTGAGGAGGTGACGAGCATCGAATAACATTTCTTGACTCGGTAGGAGCAATGGTCACCACTTTACCTCCATTTCCCCTATTTGAAACTCTGCCTCGTATCTGATCAACATGCCGTCTAACCTCCTTCCCTTCATGTAAAATTTCGTAATGCACGTCACCCGTTCGCCGCACTATAATGCCTTTAAGCCACTAGTTCATTCTTTTGTTGTTAGATAGAAAGTATATCTCCTGCATTGGTTCAAAAACGCGATATGTCGGGGTGAATTTAATATACTGCTTTTCAGCCATGCTAAATTGGAATTCTTCAGGTTTCATTAAGTCAAAACGTGTTCTCAGTGTCCTGCCCAGGAATAACATATCGGAGGATTTGCCCGTAGTTGCATGAGGAGCAATTCTATAATGCCGTAGGTACTGATTTAATCGCGATTGTAAATTTTCTTTGCTCGCCTTCATAATTTTCATAGCTGCTTTTATAGTCTGTGATTGGAACTCCGTAACTTGCGAATAGCTCGACTAAGGCATCAATCGTGGCTGCTGATGAGGTCGATGAAGTTATCTTAACTTCAATCCATTTACTGTATGCGTCAGTAACCACCAGTAACATTCTTCCAACAAAGGGACCTGCATAATCAATGTGGATACGTTCCCATGGCCCTCTCGGATATTGCCAATGATGTCCCGCAAATTTCGTTGGTTCGTTTGCCAATTGTCCACATTCATCACAAGCCTTTGCTACTTCTTCTATGTCTTTGTCCAACCCTGGCCAATAAACAACAGATTTGGCAACGCCTTTCATTTTGACCATGCCTAGATGGGCCGCATGAAGGTCCTTTAGCACCTTGCGTCTGAGTTTTTGTGGAATTACAACCCGATGCTCAAATACCAAACAATTGCCAGACAGTTTATAATTTACAAACGGTGATTTATATCCGTGTGCTTTCAAGCATTTCCCAGCTTCCAAGAGCTTAATTCCTCATCTTTGCGGGTTTCCAACGCTATTCGTTCTGCTGTTGTCGGTAATTGCTCCATCTGTTTTATAACAAACCCATCAAAATCATCAAGGTCCTCTCGGATTTTGCCAACCATACTCGCATGGACTGCTCTTGAACAAAAATCAGCATTGATATTAGATTTAGTATCTCTGAAGAAGATATCAAAATTAAAATTCGACAAATAATCCGCATAATTTGCCATTCGACTAATACAAAGCGTGGGAAGGCTCTTGTCCGGGTGCAAAATCTGTGTCAATGGCTTATGGTCCGTTATCAATGTGAAATGCTTCGCATACAAGTACAGAAAGAACTTTTGTGCTGCCCACACAATGGCCAGAGCCTCTTTATCAATCTGCGAGTATTTCCTTTCTGTGGCCGACAATGTCCTACTAGCATATGCTATTGGTCGCTCTTTTCCATCTTCTGTTTTATGCGACAACACCGCGCCTAGGCCCGTCTTGCTTGCGTCAGTTGCTAGTACCAGGGGTAACTGAGGGTCATACGGTATTAACACCTGGTCGGACATAAGCGCATTCCTCAAATCCCTATACGACCTCTCAGCTTCCGAATTCCACTGAAATGGTTTCTTAGAGAGCACCTCTCGCAATGGTCTAGCTCTGGATGATAAGTTGGGAATAAACGAGCCGTAGTAAGTGGCTTTCCCAAGAAATAACTGCAATTCACCATGTGTCTTTTGTTTCGGTGCATCCTTTATAGCTTGAACGTGCATGTCAGACTTGTGTATACCTTCTCCGTCAATTCTATGCCCCAGGAATTCAACTGATGATGCTGCAAATACACACATAGCTCGATTCAGTTTAAGCCCTTTGCACCGCAAATGTTCTAACGTTTTTTCGAGAGAACTCATAAGTTTTTCAAATGTTTCCGCATACACGAGTATGTCATCAAAGAAGTTACATACATTAGAAATACCTTGTAGCACAGCTTCCATCGTTCGCTGCCAAACCGCAGGGATATTCGCAGCTCCGTACACAGCTCTCAATGGTCTAATCAATCCATGGGTGGGTGTATTCAGTGTCAATGCGTGGGCCAGTTCGTCATCAATTTGTAAGTGAGAGTAAGCATCCGATATATCCAAAAGGCAAAATAATTTGGCACCTCTCATCTTATTAAACAAAAATTCCGGTTTCGGTATTGGATGCTCATCTATAATAATTCTCAGATTGAATGTGGGCTTGTAGTTACCCGTGATTCTAATTTTGCCGTTCTTCTTTACCACCACATGCGTTGTTGAAGCCCATTCAGAAAATTCGACCCTTTTATAGAGACCGGCTTCCAATTTCCTCAAAGCAAACGGGATTTCTCGAGCACCAGCGAATACGGGTTTGGCTTCTGGTGCAAAATTAGCTTTGACAGGTGGCATGTTCAACTTACCAGCAACTTCACCAAACACATCGTCGTATTCTTTTAGTAAATGGCGTAGAACATCGTTTTCCTTCTCTGAGTCCGATTTGTAGTCAGACTCCACCTGATACGTTTTTGACTTACGAACTTTTGAAATATGACCTTTCTTTTTACACGCAAAGCACACAGCATTCCGAAATCTGCAACTATCTCTTGTGTGTAGTCCACCACAACCTTGACACTTATCGCCAGCAACTGCATTTGAGCCCCTTTTTCTCCGCTTGAACTTTACATTGCTGAACCCCACTTTGAGCGTCGTATCATCAACATTGTTATACTGGCTACCCGCTTTCATTTCGCTAGCCGATTTATGTGAAGCTTCCAATCTTGTTGCAATGTCATAAGCTGCATTAAATGTGGTCGGCTCCTTTGCAATTATTTCATCACATATATTCCGTGCCTCAAGGCCGCAGAGTAGTTGTTCCGTCAACATTCTGTCTAAAAATTCACCATACTCACAATGCGCTGCCGCTTGACGTAGCCGTAATGAATATGCTGCTATCGTCTCTTCCTTTCCTTGGACGATGTTGCGAAATTTGACGCTTTCTGCATACTTGTTCTTTTTGCCATCAAAATGATCACACAACTTTTGTTTGATCACATCATATTCAATGTCGCATGGTGAACTCGGGCTGACCAGCGTCCTAAGAGCATTATTAAGCTCCCCGCCCATGTGAACTAACAAAAACTTCTTGTACTCGCTGTTCGGTACACGGCCCAATTGCAATGCCCATTCGCATTGTTCGAAGTAATCTTTCACCAATGTTCCATCTGCACTCTTGTAGGGCGGAATGGATACAGCCGTACTTGCTGTCCGTGATCCATCGCCACCGAGCTCTTGCGCCGTCGTGGCGCTAACAGATTGTTGCAGAGCATCAGCAATCAACTTTGCAAACTGCCTATATTCCTCGTTGTCCAATGGCATTATCCCACTTCTGACACCAAATGTTAAATCCAATAATAACACGTGGGTTTATGTCCATTCAGAGGTTATGTGCTTTATTGTTAAAAGAAGACTTAGGACTAAGAGTAAAAGTTAAGGCAAAAGGAATGATGAAAATAGTGTTGCCATATAATGTGAATTCAAATACAAATGTGTAGTGTAGCCAGATAAGGTATAACTATAATATTAATAAGGTAATACATAACAATGGCCTCTTTTGAATTTTGGAAAAAGTGGTCTTATATCACAATTTTTGCTATAAATTTTCAAAGAAAAACGATTAATTAGGAAATGCAATTGAAAATTATCTTAAAAAATAAAAATTAATAAATATTTAATCTGTATTTATATACCCAAAATTTTAAATTAAAATCCGATTTTTTTCTTCCATAATTCCACATATTTAAAAAAGTTACATTAGAAAATATTATATGTTATAGATCAATATTCATAAACAAAAACCATAGTATAAAAATAAAACAAGCAACCATTACAGGAAAAAATAATTAAAAAAATATAATTGTGCGGTTTTTTATTTACTTCATTTCATTAATTTTAACAGTATTATTAATTTCATAATCGTCTTTTACTTCACAACCATTATAAAATTAATTTACTTAATAATAATCATTTGCTTCTTCTTCATCATACAATTCGTTAAAATAATCTTCATCTTCGTCGCCGTTATCATTTTCCTTTTGAGTAAGCAGTCTGAGGCATTTGCTGTATTTTCTTTTTACAACTCTTCCTCTTTCTCGAAATAAATGGATCTGAACTTAAAAGAAATCTATTAAAGACGTCTTCTATTGTATTTTCCCGACTGAATTTACTGGAAAAGTGCTGCCAATAGTTTTTGAAGTCCTTATTTCTGGCGTCAAAATCAAAAATTCTTCATTTGTTAAGGACAAAAAAAAGACTACAGAAATCTAATGCAAAAAAAAGTTAAACGGCGTCCATTGCGTGATTTTGATAATATAAATATTTTTTGTTTATTTTTTATTTGTATAATTTAGAGGAAAGCCTTATCGAATATTTGGAAGTGGAGTTTCCGACGACTCCGAACCCGGAAAGGCTTACATGGCTGGACGCTCCCATAATGTTAATGCTATTGAAATTAGTAGATATTTTGCGAACTAGAGCAAGATATGGAACAAGTCACGTTTAGGGGCTCCATTCGGATCATTTTGAAATGATTACCGTAAGTAGCCCCCCTTGTGCGGATTGCAGTGATATACATTTCATGTGGGAAAATGCATACTTCCCGAGATATTGGCCTTGAAATTTCGGAACATATTTTGTTTAAAATAACCCTTTTTCCATGGTATAATAATAGAAGGTAACAGCAAGTGTTGTTGTACAAAAAACGATACAACAACCACATGGAAATTTGTTGTTGTAAGTTCTACTAGTGTCAACTCATTTGACAGAAAAATGTAAACAAACAAACAAATTATCATCAAATTATTTTTATTTTGAAAATGAAATATTTTCGAATTCTATAAATAAAAATTGAAAAACATGAATGAAAATCTATTTATATATATTTATATATATATATATATAAATATTTATATATATATTTATATTTCTATCGCTTCTACATCTTTCCTATAATTGAGCCATAGCCATATATATGTGTAACACATATGAAAATGCAGGGAATAGCGAGTTGTTCCTTGAAGAAAGATTTGCTTCCTCAAACTTTCCCAGCTGGCAGATTGAGTAAGTTGAATACGGGAGCACATTTAATAAAGAACAATTACAAATTTTATGCGTTCCCAATTTTCCTGTTGGGTGATTTTTAAAAACATAATTTGTCAAATTCATATTGACACTAGTATTACGTTGGAATCAAATCAGCTGGGACTTGCTGTTATCTTTTATAATTGTACCATGCCCTTTTTCTATTGCCACCAAGGCAATACGGGTATCATTAAAAGGTTATACCGGGTATTTTTTTAGAGAACTTAAGAATAAGACATTCACATATGGACAGGCTAATACATGGCTACGCAATATATTCTTCATCTAGTTATATAACACAAACCATAACCATTAAAATGATACAGCTAATTAAAACAACTTGCTCTCCGAACTTTCAAGGCCCATATCTCGGGAAGTATGCATTTCTCCCCATATCACTGTAATCAGTTCACTGAGGACTACTTACTGTAAAAATGTCAAAGCGATCCAAGTGGAGCCCCTAAACTTATCTTAAGTCCAAGATATTTTGGTACGATTGACCAACTCAAATCTTCATTCTATAGTATATTCATCTGAATCTTCTGCCAGCCATTCATCTTCATTCAAAAGAGAATAAAAAAACTGTTTGTCCATTTTTAAATTTCTTATTTTTTTTAAGCAAATGTGCGTGTGTCCCTTTTGTTGAAGCCCTAACTTTCATATGCTTTATTTCGGACTGTATATCTCTGGCAA